ACAACCAACCTTAGGGATGCTCTTGTATGCGGCCTATCAATTGCACTCGGAAATTAGCTTTTATTTTTTCTACTTGAGAACGAGATAAGCTCACCATGGTTTCATTTTTCATCAGGTGTTCCTTTACCCAGTGCAGTGATGCTATGCTGGTATCAGCTCGCGAGTTTAGGTGCTGCATGGAAGTGGACTGTGCACGTGGAAAACTTACATTTGATGGAAGTATTGAACGGATATCGTGCATCACGCAGCATGCAGATTACCTTGCGCTGACCAACAGCACAGTCCTGAGACAGGTTGCACCGTTACTTCGGGACAGAAATGGGAAAACGTACCGCCGCAGAAATGGCACCTCAGAAAACGAGTGAGTATAATTTTTTTACGTAACAGCAAGCTTTACAATTTGTAAATAGTTTTTTGTCAGCCTCTGTATTCAAGACTGTCCTGGATGTTTTTTGTCTATCTGCAAGACAAATCATGTTGATTTTCTCACAGCATGTCTTCAAACCTTTATCACAGGTTTCGTAGAGCTACAGCTAGCAGCCTACAGGTGGCTGGTTCGATGGATCTTCTGCTACTTGGGCTGGGAGAATAGTAGGCCATTGCCAGCATGTGTCTACCACAATATCAGATCTAGGTGTGAGTCCCACTGCATCACAACTGGATATACATCAGCAGAAGAAAGGAACTGAGATGTAATCATTATTTTCCCATTATTTCTAATAGAATTTTACAAATAAAATTGAATTGACTTGCTCCACAATTATCTCCTTATTTTTGTGGAGCTTACTACACTCCGTAATTTAGGCTTCAATAAACCCTTGATGGGGGGGGGGGGGAGTTTACTCTTTTATGTGGGCTACATCATGATGCACCACTAGATAGGGTAAGGTTTTCAATCCCTTCACTTTGTACAGGGTATGTAGTTCCAAGCGTGGCTGTCCTAATTAGGGTCTGACAGGGTACTGCTGCAAGCCCTATTGAGTTCGATGTTTATCTGTATTTATTTAGAAGCATTTCTCGAAAGTTTTTGGCGGTTAGCGCTTGGATTTTGAATGGATCTTCGATTGAATGACACGAGAAGAAGCGTCAACCTTTTGGTTTATCTGGTTTTAGATTTGGAAGCCGGGCGATTATAATTTCTAGGTGAAAATCAGCTTCGCGCTGGAGCGGTCGAAAATGAGCTTTCCACCCTCGTCTCCTTCTTATACAGTAAAGTAACAGTCAACGCAAAATCTACCAAATCGCTCAAATTCGCCATTTAGAACCACAGGAACGACAATACACGGCAAATGAGGTAGGTTTACATTTATTTTGAGCCTTAACATAGAGGTGAGGTGCCATTCCTGCTGATTTCACGCTGTCCCAGACTATTTTCAATTGTGGCAGATTTCTGGTAAAAACTAACTCGTACTGATAAATACCAAAAGGATACATTTTCCATTTTGTACCATTTGCAATTTATCAACTAAAACAATAAATTCAAAGTTAAAGCTGAAACATTAAAACGGTAAGTTTAATCATTTGCTAAATCTGGCATTTTGACTCTTACTAATTTTTAAAAATCAGCACACAGTTTGCATAAGTAAGATGTACAATGTACTAAAAAATATCTACTTGATAGATAAAAAATTGCAGGCTATTGTTAGCATTATATTACAGAAGCTTACCCCAGAATGTCATCGGCTTTCGTTATGAAATGACTTTAACACAACATGCGTTTCGATTAGTCTAAAATCTATTGTATATTTGTATATTTGCCTGTGTACCCATAGAAACATCTTCCCTTTATGTAAAATGGCGCCATACGGGGCGATTTCCCAGATTTGAAATTGGTAAAGAACTTTGGTTTAGAGGGACGAGTAGGACAATTTGAAAGCCAAAAACAATTACAAACATTTAATTTTTCTAACATTATCAAATTTTTATTTAAAATTCAGTTTAAGTAACTGTTTGTTCCGTTCTAAGCCTTAGTTTTTCGCTGCTGCGCAGCTAAAGTAAAAACTTCAAGAAGAAAAAATTCCCGCCATGTTTTCTCTTCCAGAAAACTGTAGCGTCACAGAATGACTGAATTTTTATTTAGATATTTACTGAGACTCTTATTTACTGATGAGAACAAAAGTAACTTGAGCTTAAGATTTTTGGAAAATTCGGTTGTTGTCCGCGATCTCAGTAGCTTTTATTTGATAGTTTTTGCCAAGTTCAAGCCCTTTAAAAGCGTATTTCTAATTTTGAGAATCGATGCACACTCGAAAAATCCATTTTTTTCTTTTATATTTCCATAACATTCCCTTGGATGAATGTATTTAGGGAAAACTAATGAAAGGTTCCACTGAAGTTAAAGCTTTTATATAGTAAAATATAAATGTTCAAATGTTTTTTTTTTTGTTTGTTTGTTTATTTTGGCAGTCACCGGAAACTTAAAACTATCCACCTTTAATACATTCATCTGAGGGAGTGTTATGGCAAAATAAAGAAAAATCGTTTTTTTCTCGCGGGTTTA